TCTGGGGCCTCCTGGGGGCTCCTTGGGTCCTCCTAGGGCACTCTTCAAGCAGGAGGGTCGAATTTTGGAATCGTGGTCCCCCTCTTGGCCGCATCTTGGGGCCGTCTTGGGGCTCTGTTGGGGTGTCTTGGGCGACTCTGGGGCCGTCTTGTGGCCCTCTTGGGCCGTCTTGCAGCGCTCTTGGGGGCCTATTGAGCCGTCTTGGAACGTCGGACAGCTGAAAAAGCTGGAAGGCCAAAATCATTCGAAAATCTTCGTAAAATTGACGATTTCGGCGTCTTGAAGCGCTCTGGAGAGGCGTCTTGAAGCGTCGTGGAGTGCCTTGGGGGGCCTCTCGGGCCGTCTTGGGCCTATCTTGGGCGTCCTGGAGCGGTCTTTCGGCGACTCAGGGCCCGCTTGGGCCGTCTTGGGAGTCTCTGGAGGCCCTCCTGGACTATTTTGGACCTCCCCGGCCGCCCCGTCCTCCCACGGGGGGGTCGGAGGCGGCGGCCTCCGAGGCCCAAGACGCGGAAACCCTGTAAAAACATAGGGAAAATGAGCCCCGGTACCCCCATGGAGGGTCGAGGCAGCTGTTTTCGGGCCCCGGGCCTGCTCCCGCGTGATATATATATATATATATATATATATAAATAAATATATACATACATACATACATACATACATACATACATACATACATACATACATACATACATACATACATGCATACATGCATGCATGCATACATGCATGCATGCATACATACATATATACATACATACATACATGTGTATATATATACATATATACATGTACGCATATATACATACATACATATACATATATACATATATATTTATACATACACACATACACACATACATACATACATACATACATACATACATACATGCATGCATGCATACATACATACATACATACATGCATACATACACACATACACACATACACATACACACACATACATACATACATACATACATGCATGCATACATACATACATATATACACGTATATATATACATATACATACATATCTATATATATGTATGTTTCGCTTCCCTTCTCTCCCCATACCCTTTCGCTCTCTCTCTCTCTCTCTTTCTCGTTATCTCTCGTTTTCTCTCTCTCTCTCTCTCTCTTTCTCGTTCTCTCTCTCTCTCTCTGTCTCTCTCTCTCTCTCTCTCTTTCTCAGTCTCTCTCTCTCTCTCTCTCTATCGCTCCAGTTATTTATATCTCTCTCTCTCTCTTTCTCCCGCTCTCAATATGTACCTCTCACACTTTTTCTGTCTATATCAATGTATATATATACTATAACCATCGCGCGCGCTTCGCGCGCGCTCAAGCTCTAGCTAGGATAATCGGCATCGTCATCATCGCCATCCTCATCACCATCATATCTGGCGTCATCGTCAGCGGCATCGTCATCATCATCATGACCATCACCATCATCACAATCGTCACCATCACCACCATCAGCAGCAACATCGTCATCACCATCGTCATCATCGCCATCGTCGTCATCATCGTCAATATCGTCACCTGAATTATAATAATAATCATCCTCATCATCGCCATCGTCATCATTATCGTCGTCGTCGTGATCGTCGTCATCGTTATCGTCATCATCATCGTCATCATTTTCATCATCCGCCCACCATTATTATCAGCATCGGCGTTATTATCCTGACCATCAGCAGCATCATCATAATGATCGTCAGCATCATCATCCTCAACGGCATCACCGTCATCGTCATCATGATCGTCAGCATCACCACCATCATCATCACCACCATCACTCAAATCACGATCACCATCATCAACATCATCATCATCAGCATCATCATTCCCACTGTCAACATCATCATCATAATCTTCTTCCTCGTCATCATCATCATCATCATCATCATCATCATCATCATCATCGTCGTCGTCAACTTCATAATAATCGTCATCATCGTCATCATTTTCGTCACCGTCGTCTCCGAAGCTCCCCCGCCGAACTCGAGGATATCTCCGCAGCGTCTTGCATGCCGCGTGAGCAGTATTGGGGATTTAGGTTGTGGGCCTGAGGCCGCCCTGCATAATCATCATTGTCATTATCACCAGCGTCTGGAAGCCTTGCGGGGCCCTTTCGGCGCCTTTTGGAGGCCTCTTGGAGCTTCCTGGGGGCCTCTCGAGGCCTCTTGCGGACTCCTGGGGGCCTCTTGGGAGCTTCTGGTGGGCGAGGGCTCGAAATGTCAGTTCGTGTTCCCCATCTGGGGCTCCTCTTGGAGTGTTCTGGGAGCTCTTTTGGGCCGTCTTGGAAGCTTCCTGGGCCGTCTTGGGGCCCTCTTGGGCTGTCTCGGTGGTCTCTTGGGGGCCTCTGGGCTCGTCTTGAGGCGATCTTTCGGGCCTCTTGGGCCGCCTTGGAGCGTCTGGAAGCCGAACTGGGGAGAACGCCAAAACCCTTCAAAACCACTAAAAATCAATGACAATTTCCTATTGGGCCCCTCCTGGGAGTGCTGTCGGAGACCTGCTGGGACGCTTTGGCAGCTTTTTAACCGTCTTGGAGTGCTCCCGGGCCGCTTCGGACCTCTCTTGGGCTGTCCTGAGGGCGTCCTGGAGCCATTTTAGAAGGTCCTGGGAGCATCCTGGCGTCTCCGGCGGGGGGGAGACCACAGCCACTGGGCAAAGTGAGGCCCCCCCCTGGTCCAGGACCCCCTCCCCACATATACATATATATATATATATATATATATATATATATATATACATACATACACACATACATACATACATACATACATACATACATACCATACCATACCGTACCGTACCGTACCGTACCGTACCGTACCGTACCGTACCGTACCGTACCGTACCATACCATACCATACCATACCGTACCATACCATACCATACCATACCATACCATACCATACCAAACATACATACAAATATACACTATATATATATATACATCGAAGCATACGTAAAACATGTAGGATTGTGTACACCGGAGAAGGACAATCTATAGAAACATACGTACGTCGTCCAAGGCGCCTCGGAAGGCGAAGAATACTCCTCCAAGGCGCGCAATCATGTTCCCGGACCGCCTTCCGGGAACATGATGGGACGACCTCCTGAGGGCCTCCAATGGGCCTCTTGGGGGCCTCTCGGAGGCCTGTTGGGCTCTCCTGGAGGCGTCTCGGGGCGCGCTCAGGTCCATTTTTGAGCATCTTGGGGACCTCTGGGGACCTCCGGGGAGGCTCTTCTTGGGGCCTCGCGGGGCCCTCTTGGGGACCGCTGGGCTCGCTTAATCAATCTTGAAGCCCTGTCGAGGCTCTCCTGGAACCGTCTTGGGCGGCTCCTGGGCCATCTTGAGGCTCTCCTGGGCCGTCTTGGGACGATTTTGGGGGTCTCTTGGGCCGTCTTGGGGCGGTCTTGGGGGCCTCTTCGGCCGTCTTGGAGCGGTTTTGGGAGACTCTTGGACGGTCTTGGAGCGTCGGAACCCCGAAAAAGCGAGAAGGCCAAAAACCTCGAAAAAATATATAAAAATCAACGACTTTGGCTTGTCGGGGCTCTCTTGGGAGGCCTCTTGGGATGCCTTCGGGGCCTCATGGAGCTTTCTTGGAACGTCTTCGGGCCTTCCTGGCCATTCCTGAGGCTATCTATGCGCTTCTTGGAGCGCTCGCGGGCCCTCTCGGGCGGTCTCGAACTGTTCCTGGCGGTTCCAGGGGCCCTGAGGGACGCTTCGGACGCTCCCGGGGGCGCCCTGCACCCCCCATGGTGATTACTGGCAGCGCCCCGGGCCGCCTCCGGGCCCTACTCCGATCTATATATATATATATATATATATATATATATATAACACACACATATATATACATATATATATGTATATATATACATATATATATATATAGATATATATATATATGTCGGAAGTTGGGGGGTGAGATCGCAGTGAAACGGAGACCCCCCACCGGGAAATCGAAATCGGTTTCGGTTTCGTGTTCGTGTCGTGCGTGCGGGCGAGGCGAAGCTGCGCGTAATCCTCCTGTAGCCAGGCCGAAGTAGGAGCGAAAGTCCGTTTCCCGTCCGCTGGTGGCCGGGAGGTGTCCCAGTTGGGCCGGGCGGTGTCCCGGGTGTCCCGGGTGTCAATAGGAGCGAAAGTCCGTTTCCCGTCCGCTGGTGGCCGGGGGGTGTCCCAATTGCGCCGGGCGGTGTCCCGGGTGTCCTAGGTGTCCCGGGCGTCCCGGCGCTAACGCATGTCGCTAATTTCATAGTTCATGTTTTTCGGCGCCTGCGGCGGGCGTTCTTATCCAATCCAGCTTATCTTATCCAATCCATCTTGTCCAATCCAATACATATTATCTTATCCAACTCAGAGTCGGTCTTAGCCAGAATGTAATGGGCTGGTAAGGTGGCCGAATTGTTTGACAGTATAAGTGCCAGGAGTGTTTGCAAGTGGAGGTATCTGTCACTGCTTTCACGTGTAGGAAACAACGAGGAACACCTTCAGAACAACAAACGCTGGTCAGAACTTATTTAAGTCTACATCTGGATATTCGTCAACATCTACGTCAGCATCTACATCGTACACATGTACATATACGCTGAGCCCATGTCAGATGTGGCTTGGCATAAAGAATATGCGATGACACCTGTGATATGCAATGATCAAAACGACCATACGTCTAGATCAAATGTACGTCACAATCTACATCGTCATATACATGTGCATATACGTTAAAAGCCATCTGGTCTGGTGTTACGAATAGGCGTTAACCCTCTGCTTACTAACTGCAGGGATCCCCTGACAGACGGCCTGGCATGCTAGATAATTCCTTATCCTGTCCCGCCTCCTCCCCCTCGTCATCCGTGTACGTCCCTCCGCCCCTCGTGCTGCCTCCCTCCCTCATCCCCTCACCCTTCCCCTCCCCTGCCACCTCCTCCTCCGCAGCGGCACAGCACCGCTCGGGCTGTCACTGCCCCAGACGCCGCCGCTGGCCAGCCTCGAACGGGTCGACGCCGGTGTAGTCCACGCGGAAGCGCCGCACGACGTCTATGGCCCGGTCGGTGCCGCAGATGTCGCAGAGCACCTCGTCGTCCTGGGAGGCCGGCCGCGGGGCTCCTCCTACGCCCCCATCCCTCCTAGCCGCCCTTTCGATGTTTACCTGCCCCTCTCTGTTTACCTGCCCCTCTCTCCCTCTCCGCCCCTCCTCCTCCTCCTCCTCCTCCTCCTCCTCCTCCTCCTCCTTTTCCTCATCATCATCATCATCATCATCATCATCATCATCATCAGCATCATCATCATCATCATCATCATCATCATCAGCATCCCCCCTCTATGGCGATGAGACGACAAGGGGCAAGGCAACGTCGCCCCAGCCCACCCCAAGAAGTTTTTCCCGAGTTTCCACAATCGATCTCGGAGGTCTCGAGAACAGAAGTGATTGCCTCGCCCTACTCCTCCTCCTCCTCCTTCTCCTCCTCCTCCTCCTCTTCCAATCAATCCTCCTCGCCCTTCTCCGAGAATTCTCCCCATTCTCCTCGCCCTCATCACTGTGCTCCTGCTGCAGCCAAAGCCCCAGCACGCGCCCACTGTTGGAGCCGATGTTCACAGGGGCCAGGTGCGTGAGGCAATGTCACATGTACAAAGCCCAAGAATCGTCATCTGGCGCTGCCGTCTTGAGCATGTATGCATACATATGTGTGTATGATCCTACATGTATGTGTCATTGTGTATCGTGCTCCTCGTATCTCATCATCGTAATCATCATCATCATCACCACCACCACCACCATCATCACCAGCAGCATCATCATCAGCACCATCATCATCATCATCATCATCATCATCATCATCATCATCATCATCATCATCATCATCATCATCATCATCATCATCATCATCATCATCATGATCATCATCATCATCATCATCATCATCATCATCGTACTCATAATCATAATCTTCATCATCATCATCAGCATAATCATCAGCGTCATTATCAGCATCATCGTCATCATCATCATCATCATCACCATCATCATCCGCATCATCAGCATTATTATCATATGTCTCTCAGCACCAGCATCACCAAAAACAGCATCATCGTCGTCGTCGTCAACATAATAGGCAGCATCAGCATCGTCATCAGCATCATCAACAACAGCACCAACATCAGCATCAGCATCAGCAGCAACATCAGCACCGTCGTCATCATCAGCAGCAACAGCATTATCGTCGGCTGTATCACCGTCATCATCCTCGTCATCCTCCTCATCATCCTCACATTCATCGTGATCATCATCAGCAGAAGCATCATCACCACCCTCACCAACATCATAAACGTCATCCACTTCAACATCGGCATCAACAGTATCAGCACCATCATCATCATCAGCAGCATCATCAGCATCATCATCACCTGCATCGTCATCATCGTCATCAGCATCATCATCAGCATCACCATCGGCAGCAGCAACAGCAGTAGTCGCAGCATCATCATCATCATCAGCATCATCATCATCATCATCATCATCATCGTCCGCATCATCCTCACCGACATCATCCTCATCACCCCCCATCATCAGAACCACCATCATCAGAAGTATCATCCTAATCCTCATTCCTTTCGCGCGGCTTAAACCCAGGTCTGGCGAGCCGAAACCATCTGTTCAAGTTTGGGTTGCCGAGCCGTCTGGTGGCATGGGTGTGCAATGTCGTGCACGAGTGCATCTAGAGCCATCATCTCGGCCATGAGCTCCCCATTATTGTATACAAGCTTGTTTCCCTCAGCCAGGCGGTTGCTGAGCAGACAGACCCTCTCTTCCAACAGTCGTAGTGGATCTCGACCTGTGCGTCTTCCAGATTGAAGCCCGAATCACACAGCTCAATATGCTGCCACGACTGCAGCACGCCCGGGGTCACATCGACGAGGTGAACGACGCCTGGCTCAGAAGATCATATGTCCTCCTTCGCCCCCACAACCACCACCGCCACCTCTTCCTCCAACTCATCGTCCTCCTCCTCCTCCTGATCATCACCATCAGCATCATCAGTCCATCAGCAGCATCACCATCATCGTCAACAACAACCACTGCATCACCATCATCAGCAGAAGCATCATCATCAGTATGATCATCATGATCGTCAACATCATAAGCATCACCATCATCAGCATCATCATCATCATGATCACCATTCGTATATCCATCAGTATCACTATCATCAGCATCAGCATCATCATCAGCAGCATCCGCATCGTCATCAGATTCACGCGGCTCTGTGCCTTTCTCACCGCCAGAGATGCGAAACACATCCGATAGCACCGAAGGGCCTGAGAGCAGGCCAGAGCGCACACACTGATCACAGGCATTGAAATTCGTGTCGAGACCCCTCAGCTTTGCTGAGGAGAAGGGAAAAGAGTAGGCTTGGGGATAACCAGAAAATATGAGCCATCGTTGCCATGGAACGGAACGATGCTCACAAGACGGCGAAGCCCTCAACCCGCAGACAACATATCCGAGCAAACACATCCATGTGGCTCTGCTCTTTCCTCACCGCCAGAGATGCGAAACATATCAGATAGCACTGAAGGGCCTGAGAGCAGGCTAGAGCGCACACACTGATCACAGGCACTAACATGCGCGTCGAGACCCCCAACCCCAGGATTGGGACTGGCTGCAGGCCAACGCGAAGCGTCAAAAAAACCACACACATGCTCAACGAGGAGTTGTGGGCAAGGCTGTGCAACCAAAGTCTTGAATCGTCCAGCTGGCGTTTTACCGACAAGCTGCTCATGCTTCCTATCCGCGGCGGAACAACGGCATCGTTGCATCACACATCTGCGCAATTTTACACAAGACGAACACCCGAGAGCAAGCATTGACGCGTTCTTCTGACACGGGGTTCCACACTGATAAAAGCTGGCTGTGTAAGTTTCAGCCCCGAGACGCTTTAAATAAAGAAACTGCTTCGTGAGCCTGATCCGAGAGGCCATCGACTTTTCAATGACCACCCGAACACGGGACACCCAGCACAAACGAGCGAGGGCAGCAGATCCCCGCATCAGAGCGCCCACGACGCGAACCTTCTTAAAGTCCGTTTCGTCGAGGCTGGGAGCGCCGAGCAGCCTCGGCCCTGAATCCTTGAGGGGGGCGGGACCAGCCCCTCCCCTCCGGGCTCTGGACCAGGTAGCGCACCGGGGTCCCCAGCTAGAAAAGGCGGCAGGCAGAGTCACACGCAAGTGAAACGAGGGCGCGCCAAGCGTCAGCCCCAAGGATGCCCCGATTGGCGGCGCGCGCCACGTCGAACGTGAAGACTGCAAAGCCTCTCGCAGCGGACTCGCGAGAGAGGCGGCGGCATCCTGCGAAGACCTCGACGCAGCGGGGGCGGCGGCGGCGGCGGGCGCCTGGCGGCGGCTCAAGGCGGCCGCTAGGGCAACTGGTAGGCTGCCCGTCGCCACGAGCGCCCTCTCGCGCGCCTCGCGCGGCAGCCGCGCCTCCTCGCGCTGCAGCCGCGCCGCCGCCTCGTAGCGCCGCATCGAGGCGTCGGCGCTCCAGCGACCCCTCCGCTTCACCCCCAGAGGCGCCCTCAAAATGCCCCGTGTGTCCTCCGACGGGCCCCCGTGGCGGAGCTGGTACGGGATGCGAGTTTTTTCCGGCTCCATCTCCGCCTAGGCCTCCTGGACGTGCGCGCTATGAACGGAAAGATCCTCGCGCCCACTGCCCCTTGCACGGCTAGGAGGAGGGCCTGACCAACGAAGGCCCGACGAGGGTGGTCGATCAGCAAGCTCTCGTTGGTCGCCATCGTCCTCGACGCTGATCTCTCTCCCCAATTCTCTCCTCTGGGTGGAGGCTGATCGCCGCGAACGTGGAGGCGGGGGACGACGGCGCCGCGACGTCGGCCACTTGCAGGTTCAGCCCCTCCGAATGCCTCGGGTAGCAAGCGAAGCAGAGCAACGCCAGCAGCGCCGCCGGCGGCTCTCCCCAGTCGACCATCACCTGGGCCACTAACGCCGCCACGATCCACGGCATGGGAGGCCTCGTCGTCGCAGGATGGAATCTCGCCCAAGCCTAGAGGCCCCGGCATGCGCGAGGCAGCGAGGCGCCCCAGCGGCCCGTCAACTGGGAGCCGGCGGTAAACCGTCAACCTTGGTTACCGCCGGGAACTCGTAGAGCTTCCTTGCGATATACACGAATGGCATGCCAGGTGCGGATTCATGAGGAGGACGTGGAGGAGAAGAAAGAGTGAGGAGAAAAAGGGGGTGGAGGAGGCTGATGAAGAGAAGGGGGAGGAGAAGGAGCAGGAGAAGGAGAAGGAGCGGGAGAAGGAGGAAGAGAGGATGACGAGCAGGAGGAGGGAAAAGGTGGAGGGGGATAAGGGATGATGATGATTATGATGATGATGATGAGGAGGAGGAGGAGGAGGAGGAGGAGGAAGGGAAGGGAAGGAGAAGAATGAGAGGGAGGCGGAAGAGGAGGAGGAGGAGGAGGAGGAACAGGAGGAGAAGGAGGAGGAACAGGAGGAGAAGGAGAAGGAAGAGAAGGAGAAGGAGGAGAAGGAGGAGCAGGAAAAGGAGGAGGGGAGGAGGAGGAGGAGAAGGAGAAGGAGAAGGCAAAAGAGAAGGAGGAGGAGGATAAGGAGAAAAACGAGAAGACGTCTCGATACCGTAGGCGAATGTACCTGGTGACCTTCTGCTTCGAAAAATGCTTTTCGGTTCCATAGCCAGCCTAGAGCTCCAATAAAGCAGAGAAGAATTCGAGCATATCTGAAGAAAAAAATATATCAATAGTTTGTTTGGTTCCAGCTCTGGTAGCAGACCGAGTTCGGGCATCTAGATACTCGAGACTAGCGCTCCGGATGATTCCCTTCCGATTGTTGTGCCGAACAACTCTCTAGCTCATCCGCGAGGCAGCGAGGCGCGCGAGGCAGCGAGGCGCCCCAGCGGCCCGTCAACGGGCGCGTCGCCTGCCAGGCCGCACACAGCACCTGCCCCGCGGAGCGGTCGTCGCCGTCGGCGCGCATCTCCTGGATCAGCCCCACCACGACGACATCCGCCGACTCGAGCGAGCTGATCGTCAAAAACCTGCGGAGGCAGAAC